ACCAGGAGTTGTGTTTTGTTTCATTCACACATGTTTTAATAACTCTTTATTATTGGTGGACACCACCAATAATAATCTCCAAAGCTCAAAATGCTCGGTTCCATCATGTGATGTCATGAAGTTAACAACTACCTTTTTCCTTTTGTTCAGTAGAGATAAGGGCTGAAATAATCCAAATGATTCTAGTAAAGATAAATGAAGATGAATGAATGAACTAAATATGCAAAGTTTGCGAGTTAAACATGTTTGAATGAAATGAAATACATCCCCAGGTAGGAAACAACATTATAATATGAATAAAAAAATTGTGTGAGCCCTTTAAAATCTATAATACTACTAATGCTGTAAAGGATTTATTGATGAATCACAATGATTTTAATTTTGTCTCACTGAACCTCAGAAGATCGTTGAAGTTGAGCAGATTTTTGGACTTGAAAAGCGCTGGATACCCTCCCCTCTGACCCTCCATGGTCCTCTGGTGTCAGTGAGCCGTCTGTCCCCCTCTGCTCTGGGTCAATCTCTGCATTCACCCTCCTCAAGGCCAGTCCTAACCTCATAGAGGGCACTAACTGGTTTAAGAGCTGCCCCAGGAGAAGAGCAGGGGTATGGTGGGGCGTCCCAATACAGACACAAAGACTAATGTCTCCAAATTCAACAATAAGATCTTTATCCATTGGTGTGTATGGTTAAGACATGGACGGTAATGTCTTAATAATACCCTATAATGATTATTCATAGTTCTATTACTCAAGTGAAATTCAAATGATACTCTTCGATCGATTGCCATGAATTTAAAAGGTAATATGTTTTTTTTTTTTTGAGAAACAGAAGAAGCTATTTTGAAATGACATTTGGAGAAATTTTTGTGTTCAGTTAAGATGATTTTTGGACCAACCAAGACAAGAGAATTGATTTTCTCAGTATTGAAACTCAGACAAGTTTTACTAAAAGAAAATGATGCTGATGATTTTGTATTTGTCTTTCAAGTTAGAACCACTATTTTCTTATATTGTGGTTCTTATAAAAATGTCATAAAAATGTTGAGGTCAGTGAACAAATTGGACATAAACTTGTTTGTGTTTAGCATGAAAAGAAATGCATTGCTACTTTACTGCATATAGCCTAAAAATATAGGCCTAAGCCACCTTTTCTAACCCTTATGATGGACAAATAAATTACAAATGACAAAACAAATCCATCCTTCTTTATTTCATAACTTTGAATATGCTATCACAAACTTGCCCCTTTCTTCATAATGATATTCCACCTGACTTTACTTTTAGCCTAATTGGCCACAGTAGGACTCACAGAGCTCTAGTAACCACTTCAGCTATGCCATGCCAGGCTTAAAGCGCCCGGGCTATATTCAGACCAAATCGCAGGGCAATCGAACGATGACAACTCATAATGTCAAAGTGAGTCCGGACACCACACAGGACAAGGCCACTGGGTCCAACAGGCTCTAGAGGCCTTATTACACACATATCCCCGCTCCATACATCTATAGATATACATCTGATGACACCTATTATAAGCCAGCCATAGAGCAACTGGAGCACAGGGACACAAAATGGCCGTCACAGCAGTTAATGTTTTGCCAGACTACTTCAGAGAAATCAGAACTCCATTGTTATTGACTGACAAATTAATATATCTATATCAGCATCATGGAAGACTCCACCCATCCAGCACATGAACTTTTTACAGCTCTCCCATCAGGCAGAAGATTGCGCCACCTACAGGCCAGGACCACGAGACTACGGAACAGTTTTTATCCTGATGCCGTGAGACAGATTAATTCTGTCAGAAAAAACACTACAAAACAGCACTGACTTGGAACGCACTTTAGAAAATGGGGGCGGGTTGACATACAATATTTTTAACTATTTTATTCTTGTTATAACTATTTATTCTTATTATAACTATTTGTTCTTATTGTTATCTGTGCTGCTGTTGACCTGGACCTGAGTGCATTGTTTCGTTTCTGTGTATTTTTTATACTGGAATGACAAATAAATTTGATTCTTCTATGATTCTATTCTATAATTTAAATGGCAGGATTGTGAAAATATAGATAAGAAACATAAGAAACATCCAACCAACAGACATATTTTACAATTTAATATTTGTACAATTGTGCAGAAGAGCAGGGGACTCTCTGGATTGTCAAGTTCCGGTGAATCCTGGCTAATCTTTTGTTGACCCATGGCTGTCACTGTTTGATTTCCTAACTTTCAATTAGTTAAATCAACAATTTTGTGAAGCCCTCTGAGACGACTGCTATTGTAATTTTGGGCAGTACACACTGAAATTTAATATTTGGATGCAATTGAACTTAACTGAGAATGAAGCAGGAGTAGTAGTTGTCTAGAATTTACGCTATGGTAAAAAGTTATATATATATTTTATTTTAAGCATCTTTCCAAGACATTTAGCACCATGGTTATAAACTTTCTTCAGTAAATCTTAAAATCTTGTTATAATCCCACCAAATTAAGTCAAAATTAGAGAATCATAAAAATCTGTCACACACACTTTACGTCTCTGAGAGTTATAGCGGGAGAGTGAGCGGGGCTGACAGGTGTGAGGGCCAGTCCAGAGCAAGACAACTGCAGAGGTCCACTGGGAGCAGATGTTAGAGATCTCTGTAAACTGTTAATAGCTGCAGGATCTCATTACATTTAACTCTTTGGAGGATCAAGAACACTTCTGTGACAGCCCTCTCTCAGCACTAAAGCATAGCACAACTACAATTTAAAGGTGCAACTTTCATAGGAAGGGTCCGCCATCTACTTGTCTCTTAGTTGTTTTTATTGCTCAAAAATACCTTGAAAACCTGCTGTCTTACCATGAGAGAGGATGCCTCTCCATAGATCTGACCTGTAACTTAGTTTTGTAGTGTCACATGCTTGTTTTTATCGAAATAGTCAAGCCTAAAACCATAATGTGGCACATTCCAGGCAAAGCAATAACATCTCCATGGGTACAAGTTACACAGTGCTCCTTAAAAGCTCTGTGGTCAAAATGACACCAAAAAATCTCAAAACACACACTAAATTTGATTCTTTTGACTTATTGCAGATGCTGATGTTAAAACACCTTTGCGTGACTCTGGATTTTGGAAGCTTGAAACTGCGTGGATCATCTCCTCAATCTAATCTCTTCAAATCCCTTAAAAAATGAATGGAACTCAGACAATGTTTTCAAAGCTTTGTTTCTCACTCAAAATGAACTTGTATCTTTATTTTACTGTTTGAACAAGTGGGGCCTGATAAGGGGTTAGGACTGTGCAAAATCATAACGTGAAATGATTTCAACAAAGCAACAGTAGAAATAGAAGCATGAATTAAATATGTCAAAAAAGTCAAATTTAAAGTTTTTGTAATCAATTCTTTTTTAAGGTTCAGGTATGGCATATACTACTAACTAAATAATGTTTATGCTGTTAAAATCACCAGACATAATTAACAAATGTATTATTGTGACAGTTTTTACAACTTTAAAATTGGACCTACATTGAATCAAAACTACACAAAATCCCAGGAAATTGCAAATATCTGGTTATAATTTTGTACTTTGATTGTTATTTATAGGTGCACTGTGCAACTTTCTCAGTGGAAGATCCGTTACCTAGCTTTCATCAGCCAGTTTCATTTGTGGAAAGCATCTGACCTCGCAGCATTAGGATTTGTTCATTTGATAGTAGGTTGGTACTTTTTTTAATTTAACAAATCACTGTTATTTGGTCATGATGTATATAATGTGCTGCTAATGGGGCTAACTGGTATATTAAGCTTTTCCTGTAGGAAGAAGGGCAATAACATCTTTCCCCTTGGTAAAATTCACCAAACATTCTCTTTGTTCCGGCTTTAAATAAATAAATACAGTCATTCTTTCGACTCTCCACAGATCTGATTTGTTTTAAGCAAAAACATTTTGACTATTTGAGTTTTTTAATAGCTACTTTACAACAATCCTGCTCTTTTGAATATGACATCTTCACATCCGTCTCTCAAACACAGACTTGGCCCTGTCCCTTTAAGCCACAGCAGATCGTAGTGTTTAGGAAGAGTCCGATGACAAAACTGAGTAGAACAGCTGTCCACCGCACTACATTACTGTCAACACAGGCCTATCAGTCCACTATCCGGGCACTATCTCTCCTCTCTCCACGCACTTGCCCTGTTTATTTTAGTTTAGTTTAGAGACCTGGATCATGGCGTGCTGTTTTGTGACCTTTATTTTTACCGTGAGAAGATTTCAGCACTAGCTCCACTTATAGACTTTCACTGTAAGAAGCATCCCAGCCCCGTGCAGAGGGCAAAAGAGCGGACTAGCAAGGATTTAGAAAGGCCACTGGAGGAAATACAGCCCGCTCTGGTCATGACCTCTTATCAGTGCTGCTGAAGTGTCTTCATTGACTCACCAAAAGAAAGGTTTTCTCATACTAACTTTTGAAAGAAATTGAAGATTATAGGTTAAATGGTTTGTGAAATATGTAATAAAAGGTCAGTGAGATCTAGATATACAGTAATAACACTAAAAGTCAAAGGTGCACAAGGTAACTTTTTGCTTGGGGGTCTTTACCTGTTTTTACATGCATGTTTCTATGGACATGTCACAATGCCACAATATGACATTAAACAGATTTATCTTACATGTATTCAATTACAGGTGTTTTTATAATATTTAAAAAAAAAAAAAAAAAAAAAAAAAAACTGTGCGTGGAGTTGCCTCTCCACAAATCTGACCTGTAACTTGGCCTGTTGTCATAGTACTACTAATTCAAAACAAAATATTATCTCTTTTGAATGGTAAAAAGTCCTCAAAATGTCACCTATAAACACAAGGCAGGGAGCAAAGTAGTTGTCCTATCAATAATGAATCAATAATGAATATTTATATCAACATTCAATACAGATGCACATAGTTAGGTTACACATTTCTACATAAATACATACTTTGTAGCTCTGTGGACAGATTCATATGGTGTCCCTTACCTTAATTCCTCCCATTCGCTGCTCTCCTTTGAACTCTTTTTCATTCTTCAGCCAGTGGATCGTGGGCATGGGGTTTCCAGCGGCCGCACATCGAAACTTCACCGTGTTGGCAGCTGGGACCGCCAACAGCTTTTTGTCCATTCGCTCAGGTCTGGTCCAATAAGGAGCTTCTGTGCACAAAACAAAGCTGGGGTTAATCATCAATACCATTTGTGCTTTTTAATATTTTGAGATGTTACTATAATTGCAATAATTGTATTCTAGTGTGTTTAGAAACGCCAAATCTACTCAATGCTTGGAGAAAAGACTCACGTGACACAAGTTCAACATAAGGGTCAGACGTTAAGGTCATAGGTTATTTTAAATTAGTATTTGAACCGTCTGAAAACATAAATCCTGATCACATGAGTTCAGATGGTAAAGGATTTCTGGTAAACCAATATGCGCACGCCACATCAACATTAGGACTAAACAGAGACTAAACCTGAAAATCAATCAAAACTAAACCAGAACTAGAGCAGAATTAAGCCAAGTCTACACAGAACTAAACTTGGATCAAGCCATTACCAAATTTGGACAAGTATGAATAGTCAATTTGATTAATTTATGGGAAGAAAGCAATAATAAGAAGAGTATATATACAATTGTAAAAAGGGAACCACTGTAAGCCCTAAGCAGCATCATACTTTTGTACCTAATTTGACTTGTGTCAAAAAGAAAATTTAATTCTGTCAACTGGACAAAGGTTCTGGAGGGACTTTTGACCACTCATCCAAAATGCTTCTCCAATTCCCTGACCGGTGCATTCCAATTTCCCCATCTTTCTCCTCCGCTACCTCAAATCTAGTCTGGCCATGTTTTCTATTCCTCCAATAATCTCAGATCACAGGAACATTTTGGGGAAGACCCTGCAGGACTCCATTCTCACATGTTTTGGTAATAGCTCAAAGATGGCACAGGCGGGGTTGTTGGTTTGCCCTGTTTTCAAATTGGCCCATGTTGGAGGAGTTAGGCTGTCATGTAGTGAGCAGATGTGGGTTCTTCCCTCAACGCTTCACTCCCCCAAACAACAAGCACTGGAGCGTGGACATCATCACCGAGAGGGCTCACAGGCTTAATAAATAACTTTAATTAAATGCATAATGGTTTGAAGATGCTCGGTCAGATCAGCAGATTCACTGACAAAGTATAAGTGAATTAACTTGACAAGGTAAAACAGCACAAAGGTGATGTGCAATATAGATATACATATTTGATCAAAGTAATTTATATTGTTTACAGTTAGTTAGAAAGAAAGAAAGGCAACTTGATCAAAATGGACATGCCCATTCTGAGAAACTGTTAGCTGGTCTATTAAAAGGCCCATATTATGCAATTTTCTCATGTTACGATCTGTCATAATGTTGTTTCCACATCAAAAACAGACCTGGAGTCATGGTTTGTTTCATTCACACATGTTTAACACGCAAACCCTGCATATTTAAGCTGAGTTCTTATTTCAAACTGAAGTAAAAAAACTCCAACTTAGGAGGTAACAACTAGGGATGTAACAATAATCGAAATATAGTGATGTCTTATTGTCAAAGTTCTCAGAATAATATCGTGGACCATCACAATATATTGAATTACTTAATTAAGTCTATTTGCTTAAATTAAGAGTTATGGTGCAGTAACAGCTAAAAAAAAGACAGAGGGAACTACATGGACCATGATCCTTTGCTGCATTTCAGTGTAGACTACATGAAGAAATAACAGTTCTAAGCACTTTTATAGTCTTAGTTCTTTAGATTAAGTATTGTTTTATGCATTTTAAGAGGAAAAAGTAGCATATTAACAGTTTTGTTAGCCTCCACAAAATATCTCAATAAATATTGTACCGTGAGATGTATATTGTGAAAATATCGTACCGAGAGATTTGGATATTGTTACATCCCTAATCATGAGCTTTCCCAAAGTATCGTGAGCTTTCCCAGGATATTGCAATAAATATTGTACCGTGGGGTTCATACCGTGATGATATCGTATCATGAGACTTGGATATCAACATTATAACATGGCATAAAACTCACAAGAGCAAATTTTGCGTAATATGGGATCTTTAACTTTTGACAATTTTCTATTTCACTATACAAACAGGTCCAAGAATCTGCTAATGCTTGTGAGGTCCAGTGCATCTTTACATACTTCCCGCCAAAACCTGTACTGTCTTTTCCTCTGAGCGCTGTAAAACTTATAAAACCTATTCTGACGGATGCTCCATGGGTGTGAATCACTGGTATGGAGCTGTATGGGACAGGGGACAATGCTGGTACCCCTGTGCTCCAGGACACTACAATGGCACAGTCCATTTGAATCATCAGGTCTTGTGAATTTGGGAAGCTGTCAGTGCGATTTATTGAGTTGTATTGAGAAGATTGGGCACAAAGGAGTCAGAGCCCGGCCATTGTCCCGTGTGTGGATAGAGAGAAGGGTAGTGATGCGTAAAGGGGGACAAAAAGGCTGGGGAGGTGGTTGACCGGTCATCAGATGTCTCTTTTTACTCCCTCAAACACAACCACAGAGACGAGCTAATTACCATCTCAATGTAGCATGGAGCAGCAGCAGCACACAACTGTCGCACACAAATTTAAGTCTGATAAAGTTTGTTAAAGTGGAGAAGATCTTAAAAGTTTCTGCAAATTATAACACAGTGTTTTTGATGGTGGGAAAAGTGTATGATAACGGTTATGTATTAGGTCAGTTAGGACAAATGAAAATAAAATACTGGGAATAATATAGACTCAAATTCTGTATATAATGAACTTCACAAAGCTCATGAAGAAGCACTAAAACAGGCCCAAAACTTCTGAAAGGCTTAACAGAGACTATGCTGAAACCAGATCCATACCTGGACCTAAAGATATTGTACAATATGTCACTTTTTCTGGTTGAGGGCGTGCCACTGCTTGTCTCCATGAACATTTTATTGATATTGCTTGAATGATCCACATTATGGCATGTAACCAGGCAAAATTTCAGGCCAGATCTGTGGAGAGGAGATTCCATCACAATATATCCAAGTCTTTTTGCTTAAATTAAGAGTTATGGTGCAGCAATAGCTTAAAAAAAAAAAAGACAGAGGGAACTACATTGACCATGATCCTTTGCTCCATTTCAGTGGAGACTACATGAAGAAATAACAGTTCTAAGCACTTTTAAGTCTTAAGTCTTGTCAAGGCATTTTAAGAGGAAAAAGTAGCATATTAACAGTAGCCTCCACAAAATATTGCAATAAATATCATACTTGAGGTGTATAATGTGAAAACGTAATTTGGATATTGTTACATCCCTAATTGTGAGCCTCCCCACCATATCGTGAGCTTTCCTGCGATATCGCAATAAATATCATACCGTGAGGTTCATACCGTGACGATATCGTATCCTGAGATACGATACATTGGATATCATTACACCCCTAAAAATGCATGATTTGATACTCTTGAACAATACAGACTAAGTAATAACATCTCACCCCCAACAAACGTTTGCATAGTGAGTCTTTAACAGGCCCAAACCAGGTCTTGACAGGACTACTTCCAGATCCCAATCCAAAGTGATTTTATTTGTTGTTTGCATTCACAGTAACAGTACTTTTACTTCATCTAGATTACTTCTTGCCCATTTATTCTCACTTCATTGCCGCAGTTTGTCCCAAATTTGTCTCATTCAGACCTAGTTCATGAGGTGGACCACACATTGGGCCTGTTTAAAGACTCTAATCCCAGCTTTATTTGTGCGTGTGTGTGGCTGCTTACAACGCCAAGAAAACAGTGTGTACAAACGGCAATGGGACCACGCTGCTCCAGTCACTCTAAATACAGCACGGAGAAGCCCTGAAATCTAACAGATATTATCCTTTTATGGGCCAGTGTTTGTGTTTGCGAGCTGGGGAGTCTGATGCGAATGCCAGCAGGCTATTCAAATGCATTACATTCGGTTACAAAGCCAATTTATGTTTGTTTGTTTTCAGGGACACGTCTTAAGTTTTTGGTTGGGGTCTCTAACCCTTCATGTATCTGTATGTGATTACTACTCCAGAACCAAGCCAAATGTTGAAGACAGCAGCCAGAGACAAACTGTGTGCCACAAGTCAATCACAAAGGCAGGATAGTAAATACTGAAGACAATGGATCAAAGAGGAGAGGGTTAGAAGTAGAAGTCTAGGATTATTTTCCGATGATGACTGTAACACTATGATGTCACCCTTAAAGACAAGTAATAACTCAATAGAAGAATTAAGCTTAAAGAGATGGACATAATGTGATTAGCCAAGACAAAGTAGCCTACTTAACAAATATGAGAAAGATATATACTAGTATTCTTGCTGAAGACAGAAACATATTCCTCCCTTTACAGCAGTTCAACCCTAACCAGGATTGACATTTGCAGGACACGACTACCATCTGGCAACCCAGAGCTCACTTATCTTTCTTATTGGATAATTGGCTTGAGAACCAAAACAAAAAATATAATGTAAAAAAATTCTCACTTTATTTATTTATTTTTTTTTCTTGCCTGCATAATTAAACAAAAGGTTACATTACAAGTGTTGTCAGTACAGAAGCAGAGAAAGCAAATGAGCAATGAAGTCATATGAAGTATCCAATCTTACAAAGTATACAATCCAATGAAGTAAAATTTAGGTAAACAAATTTGATTGCTAAAACCACCAACCACTACCGCTACTGCATTTTCCACAACTACTGTACCTCAAAGAGTAACTCAACCTACTTCAATTTATTCTAATTTACCGTATTCATGGATTTCAGAATTCTGAAAAGTTTGGATAGTTGCCAAAGCAATTAACATCCAATCAAAATATGATATCTTTTGGATGGTCAAGCGTCTTAGCACCATAGCATGAAGCTGAAACCCATGAAAATTGCAGAAAAAGTATAATCAGAAAGTACAAAACTATCTGCTGTAGACCCTGAACGAGACAGTGCCAGGGGTCTCTTGTCAATCAGAATAACTGCACATATGGGCTGGAGTCTGTCAGTGATTTGAAGTAAACGCAATCCACATTTGAGCTGCAGAAATGATGACAGTGTGTCTTATGAAGGCTCAGACACATGTTGTATTGTTTGGAGCTAATTGGTCGGCATAGAAACCATAATATTTGACTTTTGAA